CAAAACTAGATAGCTCCTCCTCAATTGGTCACTATATTCAACTGAAATACAAACACATAAACGATCAACATAAACTCAAGGAAATTTCCACTCTACAGGCCCCTTAGAATCTCCAAGACCATCCTTGAATTAAGTACAAATCATGTGCTTTCAGTAGTATGGGCCCAATACTACCTTTAGCATATATCCATACTTTCCTAAAGAAGCATCTCGAATCCTTTAAGTCACCCACTAAAACCATACACACCATCCTTATGCGAAACAACATACATATCCCACTATATCATTTCGTAGGCTCTTCTAGGAATTCTCAACTCAAACTCCCTATCATATTGAGGATCTCGACCAACACTGTTGGTTGCCTTATGCATTCAAGTTGTACACAAAACGAGATCACATAGAATATCGAATAATGATTCAACCCTAAGTCCACAACCAAACAAGGATTAGGAAATAAGTCTAAACTAGTCATTCTTGGGCTATATTAATGCAATCATACACAATTTTTGAAGCATACACTTAACAATTAAACTGATCTGATATCAATCCCAAGTAGCACATAGCATCCAATCCTCCTAGGCTATAAGGAATCACACAAATCAGAAAATTATAACATATGTTTCCAGAAGATATCCTTAGCCCTACTCCAGCATGCAGTTCACATATCAGGTATAATAATCATAACACATGGGTATGGGTATTTTTGTAACCAATTAGCTGATTGCACGCATCACACCCCTTTTCTTCTTCATAAAAATCCTTTTTGAAATTCAATTTTTTTGAAAAGGTTGTCAATTCCTTAGTTTGCGTTCTGACACAACCGAATGTGTGCTCAAATCCCTCAAAACAAGGCTCTAATACCAACTTGTAACATCCAAAACACAGTGATACAGTTTTTCATTTTATAAATCAACCACGATATATTATATCAAAAATCATTAGAGTAAAAATAGTCATAAATATGGAATCACGAGGGGGATGCTGTGCGATCACATCGGGCTATTCCCTTTCGTATCATAAGTACCTAGAACCATAAACATAAATCTGTAAGCACAAAGCTTAATGAGTTCCCCAAAGTACCACATGCCATACATACAGTTAGGTCCACCCCTTGGGTATATTCCAACCCAACATATAATCATAGGCCTAGCCCTAGGGTATGTTTCAACCCAAACATGTAATGATGGGCCCAACCTTGGGGTTTCTTTCAACCCAAGCATACAATTATGCAAGAGTCACAAAGACAGATAGTATCCTACATAACACAATCCAGTAGGCAGACATCGGTGCCTTTGACCTACAAGCACAATGAAAAGACTAACCTCTCAGTCGATACTCAACTGCTACTACTCTCACTTCCAAAAATACCAATGCTACGTACCACCTATACAGTTATACCAGATAAGCCCTTAACACTTCTTCCAAAACTAGGTGTTTTCCATAAGTTAACTCAAGTCAAAACTCAAGGGTCAAAGTTAACGATCAATGTTGACTTTAGTCAACCACCACATCATGACCATCCATGGCCACACCGTGACCCTCATACATCGAGAAAGTTGGATTTTTCCCAGTCAGCACAACATGGCAACCTAAGGTCACGTTGTGGGCACTGGATTTCCAACAGCTTAATGGGTTAAGCTAGTTTTTTCGATCCCAAGAGCTCCAAAGCTCAAATCTAGTCTGAAACATGGTCTAGAATGATAAAGTTTCCAACTTTATCCATTAAGACCACCAGAAAGGTCCAAATCTCAAACCTTAGGTTCGAAAAAAGGCTAAACAAGACATGGATTCATCCATTAAGCACTTATGCCAAAAAGTCCTGAGCTCATTAACTTCAAAATGGTTTCAAACACCAAAACTAACATAAATGTTGGTGCTTTATAGACATTCATGTCCAATGTGTGTCTTGAAGCCATAAGGAGTCAAAATAAGGGTTTTTGATAAATATCTTGTGGATGGCTAAAAAATTCAACTATACTTCATATCCATACCAACAATCATACCAAATGTTCCATAGATTCATAAAGTTTCAAACTTTATGAGATCTTACCGCTCCAACTAACAAGACATGAAGATTAAGGGAAAAAACTCAAGATCTAGCAACCTAACATGATAAAAATCGAGTCTTGGACACTTACAAAGGTCTAGAAGAGTGCTAGGGGTGAAGAATAGAGACTTGCTTGTTGAATCTTAGCTCACTCATTCTTCTTTCTTCCTTCAAGAACTTCCAAGAACACTAAAAAAGGGCTTCAACAATGGAGGAAAGAGATTAGGGTGTCTTCAGATCTTTAGGAGGCTGAGTGTGAGCAAACCCTAGCCTCCTCATTTCTTTAAATAAGGAGCAAACTCAGAAAAAAAAAAGGATTTTCCATCAGCCAGCTGGCACGCCGTGGCAACTTAAATGAAACGCACGTTCCAACTTGCCTCGCCACGTTGTGGTGGTGCCTCCACCATGCCGTGGCAACCCTGAAATGCCAGAAATTAAAAATATAAAGCACCTTAAGATTCAGACGTTACAATTGACTATGCGTTGTTTCAGAAGTTTTGGATCTTTTAGAAGAACCACCCGTGACCGCTTCAGAAGTTTCGATGTCTTGCCATTTTTTTACTTCTTCACAATATTCCACACTTGTGAAAATTTGAAATTCGCCTTTTTTTTTTTACTCCAATAAAGTACAAGAGTTTTTTGCAAAATTGTTTCGTCATTTGGACCACTTTGCCATTGTCGTATGACAAACGAAAACATTGCATTAAACTCCATCACAACTTTGTTGATGTATCTCCATTTTGAGTAAAATTGGTCCTTTTTTCCTTTAGTCTCCAAACTTCATTTCTGCGAGAAAAAGCAACAAAGTTGGACAACCTTTGTTCTTTCCGATCACTGAATCTTCAAAAACATCTACCCATGCACGAGCCAACGCTGTTTCTTCATCCGTAATTCATTATCTTGGAGCTGCCTTTCCACTTTTCTTGGGTTGTGGTTGAATTTCTTCTAGCTTCGAATCCGTTTCGGGAACGACTTCAGGTTGTGTTTGAGTTTGCAATTGGGTTTAGAATTAGGTTTGAGTATTGATTGTGGAGTCAGGAAGATGATCAAATGAGTTGAAATCATTTTCTATTTGAGATTAGAGTTGGGATGAGAAGTTTATTTAAAGTTGGTTTTGAAATTGAGGTTGATTTTAAATATGATATGGGTAGCAAACACCACCATAGTGTAAATTTGGAGGTTAATAAATAGGTGGATCATATTGACTTTGGATGAAAGTAGGTGAAGAATGTGAGACTAAGTTTGTGTATTGGGTGTTTTTTTTTTTTTTTTTTTTTTTTTTTTTTTTTTTTTTAAGAGTTTTTGGATTTGGAAGGAGAAGCTATTTTTTCACAAAAATATGGTTGTTTAAATGAAAAATTAAAGAAGGTAAAATGATATGAAATGCGGTATTTCGAAGTATTAATATAGGGTTGAAAGGGGTTAAATTTAAATTTTTTTTTTTTGAAAAAAGGGTCAAATTTGACCAAAAAAACGATCAAAGAAACCATCCAAAGTCTCTCTCTCTCTCTCACACAACACATACATCGGTGAGTTTCTACTTAATTGTCAAGCCGAACTCGGCACGCCGAATCCATGGCCCGGTGTTCACCGAGTACACATCGGAATTGCCGAGGTTCTCGACGAGCCACTCCGTCGAGTCTTTGTAGTGTATGTAATTCATCATTCGTCTCTCTTATTCCTAAGATATATCTGTGTGTTTCTCTCGCTCTCTCTCTTAAAGACTATAGATCCTCTCAAATCATCTTAAAAATTGACATTTGTTCGATGATTAGTCAGTCTCAAGCAACAAACGTATATGGAAGAAAGAAATATATCCTACATGAAATTGCAAGGAGGACGTGCAAAATAACGAGTTTAAACGGATGAGATTGATTTTGGCCAATGATCAAACTAGAGGGTTTTCTTGAGTAGTTTTTTACTCAATGTGGTCATTATAATATGTAATTATCATTTTAAAAAGTTGTTTATCCTTATGAAATGTTTTACGAAGCTCTCTCATCTAGTTGCACATATGTAATAAATTGCAGATATGTAATATTTATAAAAAGAAAAGAAACAAAACAATAACATTAAATAAAATGAATATATTACAAAAAACTATCATCTCCGTTGATTAAAAAAATAAGATTTTATGACATGGACTATAAATAGTGAAAATTTTATTTATAAAAAAAATGACGATTAGTTATTTTGGAACATACAAATAGATATTTTATAAATGGGTTCTCCTGTCCACCTATGATTAAATCCCCATAATTTCAACGTTAGTTATGCTTACCAAATCGTACCCCTATCAAATAGTGATCGTATATTTTATTAATGAGTACTTTATCAAATCTTACCCAAGTGAACAGATCGTATATTTTATAAATGAGTTACTAAAAAGAATATTTTTTCTAACATGTCATGATTAGTAGATGTCTACAATCTTGATGTCTTATTAATTCCGACACTAGCACTAGTAGAAAGGAAAAATCCATTTGAACTTGTTATACAGATTGGAGACAAATATTAGCATAAACTAGGCTCTATAGTCTATCAGGTGATTCGAGTTGTATAGACTTTCTCACTCAATACGTTTGTTCATGTACTTAATACTCAAACTTACTAATACTAATCATGTGAAATGATAGATTACAAAGTCAAAACAATACATTAAAGACAATTACCTTCACTACAGAAATTCATGGCCAAAGAAAAAAGAAACCTTGATGTATAAATTAAGAAGACAGTAAATGAGATTACTAAATCAAGAAGAATTAAACTAAAAAAAAAAGCTACAAGATATTAAAAAAAAAATTGTGACCACAACGATTATTCTTTAGGTCCAAGAGATCATACTTGATGGGGTGATACTTTGGTGCATCTTTGATCAATACACAAGCCCAAGATTCAAACATAAAATTCGTAAGTTATTCTATGCAAGTTTCAACGTCTGGATCAACCATATTCACGGACAGATGATCTCGTCTGCAGGCGGAGGAGGAGGATCAAACAGAAAAGGAAACGGAGGGGTAAGAGGAGGCGGAGTAAATGGAGGAGATGATGGCACCGGCGGATCAAAAGGAGGTGGAGGTGGAGGTGGAGCAAAACGGGTTGGCTTGTGATAAAGCATGTTATGGCATGGTGATGGACCTGAAGGTGGCACTATACCTCTTGGTAGCATACTCGGTAACCCTTTTTGGTCATCCTCTCCATTATCTGGCTTACGTATTCGTCTTGCGTTGATTCTCATCAATGGTGAAGCCAGTGATAGCAATAAGATCACAAACACAACACAAAATAATTGCCTTAAAACCATTTTTTTTCTTCTTTCTCACCCTGCTACTCCTTTCCCCTTCCGCCGCTCTTCTTCTTTTGTAGCTAAAATCTTGTATTGTGCTCGTGTGTTTGCTAATAGAAAATGACACATGATGACATGAATCTGATATGATATGATGGGAGTTGGTGGTTAGATTTGAACTGTCAGAATGATTTTGTTCAGTATACTAATTTTTCAGAGTTGATATATATTGTATAATTTTAATTCTAAGAAAAGGTTACATTATGAGCAACTTTTTCTTTGTTTATGTGCCATATTCTTTTTGGCTTTAAAATCATGGGGAAAAGTGGTAAACTTTTGAATTTTAGTTATAGAAGCATCCAAATATACAAGTCGCAGTTTAGGGATTTAAGTAATTTTTTTGAACACTTTCTTTTGTGTTTCATATTATAAATAGTTTATCTACTTTTGCTTGTGTATGGTGGGGGTAGTATATTAATTAACCATGTGATTTTTGTGTTTATTAATTGACCTCGTGATTCAAATATGTGTCACGTGAAAATAAAATTAAAAATTCGAGCACTTTATTTTTGGTGTATTAAAAGACTAATCGAGAAAAAAAAAAGAACGTTTACAGTTTAGCGTCATTCATTTTTAAGAGAGAAAGTGAAACTTATTTACTTTTATACGCCCACGTAATCACGTTGGTCCTATTACGTGTTTATGACTTTATGATAGATAAAATTGTTAAAGAAAAAATATTTGTTTGGATAATGTTGAGTAAAGTACTTGTTTTACAATTAGAAAAAATATAAACATAAATCTGTATTCGTTTTCAACATCACAGGAAATGAACATTGTATCGTTTATCATGCACAAAATATGCCAAATGTATATTTAAAAGAGTAATGTGGACATAAATAGTTATTTCATAACAAAACTATAAGCTTTTGTTTGACAAAAATAATTTGGTTTATAAATTAGTTTATTGTTATTTAACATTTATTAAGATAATTAAAATAACTTATAAACTAGCTTATAAGTTAGTTTCTTAATAAGATATATTAGGATAACTAGCTTATTGATAAATTAACTTTTTACCATACCAAATAGAATCTATGTAAATACATATGATGATAAGAATTCTAATACGTATGATGATAAGAATTATAAACACATTGCACATGTATAATTTATTGTTTTTGTTTGTATATTATTTTGTGCGATCATCAATTGGTAACTCATATATTCACCCATAATTACTATCATGTCTCATCAATCTTTTTTTTTCAAACTTGAGATGAGATGAGTAGTGCATTAAGCTAGCATAATTGTTTGGTTGTCAAACCAACAAATAATGAGATAAAATAATAACAATAAAACTCAAATCTCTGCTACTTCATACACTAAAAATAACATAAAGTAAGCAGGATCGATCCACAGGAATACGAGACTCCTTATTTAGTCTTATTTTCACACATTATACAAACAATATTAAAATGAGGGATTATGCTTAAACTAGAATTGAAATTCATAAAGAAATAAGATTAAAATCAAAATTCAGTAAAAGAAATACATTTCTAATTCTGATTCCTATATATGTATTATGTTGAAAGATGTAATATAGTTATAACTCATGTTTAATCTAGGTTGGTAATTTAGATATTAATAAACTCTAATATCTAAGTTGACAAAAGTTTTTTATTCAAAATATGTTCTTCAAATAAAACTTCATTTAATTGATTCAATTCAAATAAGTTGTTGCATCAAATCATTAAATGACATTGAGTTCTTGCAACAATTACCAACAATGTTCAACATTCCTCCTAAGCTTGGGATTATGAACATTTAATCTTTGATTACACTTATTTTGATCTAAATACAACCAATCAAGTGCATGTTACTGACATCAAATCATAAAACATAAATGAATTTTATAATTTAATTAACTAGATTGATAAGAACTCTAATTCATTGATCAAGTGAAAAAGAGAACCAATCAAACACATAATTAAGATCACATCAAATATTACTAGATGTTAAACATAAGTCAAATGTAAATTACAGCCTAACAACAAATAATTAAGAATTCAGAATCATAAATGATTTTAGAAATCAACCACACATGCCTAAATTAAACTACAAATTCAACAAGTTTGTATCCTCAATTTGACTTACAAAATGCAAATTAAAGTGTTTCCAAATGTTAATCCACTTCCAAAATCTCCCGAAATCTTTTCTCTTCTCCCAAAATACGACTTAACCTCCCCAAGAACTGGTTGTCTCTCTTTTACAAAGGATGAAACAATTTTAAAACTGACGACGCATTTACACGGCCCGTGTAAACTATAACTAACCATTCACACAACCGTGTAAATACAAAAAAAAGTAGAATGCTCAATTTGGCCAGGTCTTCGAAGTACATTGCCAAAGAGTATGCGTTTATACAACTCGTGTAAACTCAAGGTTTACATTTTTACAAAGGATGAAACAATTTTAAAACTGACAACGCATTTACACGGCCCGTGTAAACTATAACTAACCATTCACACAGCCGTGTAAATACAAAAAAAGTAGAATGCTCAATTTGGCCACGTCTTCGAAGTACATTGCCAAAGAGTATGCGTTTATACAACCCGTGTAAACTCAATGTTTACATTTACACGGCCGTGTAAACTCCTGTAAAACCAAAATCTTCATTTTCTTCATAACTTCATCACCTCAACTAAGATCTTACCTTCAAAAGTCCTTGAAATATCACAAAAGTGTGTGAATGGAATTGCATCATGAAAAATCCTAAGAAATATGCAAAATGAATAAGTTTAAACCTAAATGCAATGCACTTTTATAGATTAAGACTACAAAATGAATGCATGAAATGCACCTAACAATGATCATTTTTTAAAAATGTTTTAGGATATAAATATTAGGGAACTATGATTTTTTCTTTTCCATGATATTGTTAATGTTGGTGATTTTAGTGTTATCAAAATATTTTTCTGTAGTTATTATTAATATTGAGATAAGTTGAGTTGTAGTTACTCAATGAGACTAGAGGTGTGGGATGTACATTAACGATAAATGCAAAATCGGGAATACATGGTTCCGGAGACAGCTCCGAGTATGAGGTTCCAAGGGGCAGCACCCTCGGTGGGGTTTAGAGGCAATGCCCCTAGCGGGGTCCAAGGGGCAGAGCCCCTACTGAATTTTTAAATTAGGAAAGACTCTGAGCACGAATTTTCTTGCCACAGCCTACTAATGACATCATGATGATGTACGCATCGGTTATGTCCAAAACTACCCTCTTTTGGTATCAATTTTTGGTGTAACCGGTTTTAACCATTGTTCTTCCTTGTATAAATGGTATGTGAACGTTCCAGGAAAATGGTTGTGTAACACCCATAAAAATCACGCAAAATTAAACTTTTAAAAACATTTCAAATCTATTAACCATTACAAAACTTGTTTTCAAAATATATCATATCAGAGTATCCCATAAACAAAGTCATAAAAAGTGATGAGCTATATGATCACACATTTGCCTTGCCGCGATTCCCTAATGTACCTGCAACAATAAACTGAAACTGTAAGCCCGAAAGCTTAGTGAGTTTCCCCAAAATACCCATACCCGCAACAATACACATATAATCATAAACAACATATTATGGGTCCAATCAACCATCGAGTTGGAATACCCCATGCCCTCAACCTTCCAGTTGGAATGCCAACATACTATACGTCCAATCATCCTCAAGATGGAATACCCCAGGCCCACAACCAACAGGTTGGAATGCCCACATACTATGAGTCTAGTCATCCTCGGGATGGAATACTCACGACCCACAACCAACTAGTTGGAATACCCAGGTCTATTGGCTTTTGCACGAAGCAGATAAGCCTCAACCGCCAAACAAACATGTGCACATATAACTGATAATCACATAACAGTCCATAGACAACAACTGATCTAACGGATCATACCATATACCACCTAATATTATCCTACCCTCTAGGATACCGAACTAACATGTCATACCACATACCACATAATATTATCCTACCCTCCAGGATACTGATCTAACATATTCTACTAACATAATATATAACTAGATAACAATCCAAAAGGGTCGGCCTTGGTGCCTTAGACCCTTGAGTATAGTGAGGATAACTCACCTGGTAGTGCTGAAGTCCCGCAGATAAAACTCCAACTGATGGTTGACAGATTCCCATGCTGTCAACGTCAAACAACACCCAATTAATAATTAGGTTCCAAGCCCAAGGTCCAACTCACACTCTAAAGGCCCAATAGTCAACCAATGGGCTAAAGCTCAACATATGGCCCAATTTTCCAAATTGATCCCAGATCTCTACATGGTCTTTCCTTAAGGTCCATTCAATTATTCTAGTCTAAACTATTCGTATTCCAATGGCCCAATATCACATAATCATAAAGGCCTAGTTATGGCCCATCTATGGCCCAATTTTCCAAATTAGGACCAAGACTCTCATATGGGCCTTGTGCTAAAACCCATATAATTATTTAGTCAATTTGCTTATTCTTAGAAAGCCCATTAATAGTCCAATCCCCAAAGCCCGATAGAAAGGCCCAACACAAAGTCCAAGTGAAATTAGGGTTTCATATAAAATGATAATTAGGGTTAAGTGTTCCTACTTAACCCATTAATGACTTAATCCATTAAGGGCTTAATCCATTAAGTCCATTATTGCCATAGGTTTAATTGCCAATGATTATAATTTATTATTTTAAGTTTAATAATTAATTCAAGTGCGAGTCCCGATCAATCCCACAATTAGGGTTTTAAGCCATTAGGGTTTCCTACCCAATACTAGCCCATAAATCAAATGGTTGGGCTTTTAGGTAAAGTAGGGCTTCATTGGGCCCATTAGGGTTTCATTGGGCCCATTCTGTCCAATCATCCCAACTAGCCAAAACACAAGGCACACCGCCATCCAACACGGCAGCTGGTGGCAGCAGCCACCACCTTACGGTGGTGGTTTATACTTTTCATTATTCTGAT